CTGCTTCTCCCTCTGACCCTCCTCCCTCTCCTGCTCTCTGTCTCTCATTCTCTCGCTCTCAAATAAATAAATAAAATCTTTAAAAAAAAAAAAAAGAGTGATTGCTTACTCTTTGTCATTCTAGAATCCAGGAATCCAAGTTATTTGGCAAACGCAGAGAAGTAAAGCCCAGAGACCATCCCCAGGGTAGAGGATACTTATTAGTACCCTGGGTGGAGCAGGGTAATACTACGATGTAAACAGAAAGAACCTCATATCAAGCATCAGGCCACCTGTATCTCCAGCCCATTCTTGATTTTGTTTTTTACTAATTCACAGGTTCCTTCACTCATTTGTTCAGTGAATATTTATTATCTACTCTGTGCAAGGTCCTCTTTTGCGTGACCTTAACCAAGCCACCTAACCTTCTAAGTAAGACATGTATTCATTTTTAAAAATAGACTTGCTTTTTTTAGAGCAGATTTAGTTTCACAGAAAAATTGAGTGGAAGGTACAGAGATTTTCCATGGATCTCCTGCCCCCACACATGCACAGCTTCCACATTACCAACTTCCCCACCAGAGTGGTCTGTCTGTCAAAGTTGATGAACCTACATTGGCATATCATTATCATCCGAAGTCCATAGTTTAGGGTTCATTCTTGGTGATGTATATCTGTGGGTTCGGGAAAATGTATAATGGCATGTATCAATGATTATAATATCATACAGAATAGATTCACTGCCATAAACATCCTCTGTGTTTCTCCTATTCATTCTTCTCTCTCCCTGGCGAGAGCTAATTGTTTTGCTGTCTCCATAATTTTGCCTTTCTGAGAATGTCCTATAGTTGGAAATCATACAACGTGAACTTTTCATACTGGCTTCTTTCACTTAGTAGTATGCCTTGAAGTTTCTTCTGTGTCTTTTTATGGCTTGATAGCTCATTTCCTTTTAACACTGAATGCTGAATAATATTCCATTGTGTGGATGGACCACAGTTTATCCATTCACCTACTGAAGGACATCTTGGTTGCATCCAAATTTTGGAAATTATGAATAAAGCTTCTATAAACATCCACATGCAGGTTTTGGTGTTGGCATCTGTTTTCAACTCTTTGGGTAAGCACCAAGGAAAGTGATTGTGGGATTGTCTGATAAGAGTATGTTTATTTTTATAAGAAACTTCAAAACTGTGTTCCATTTTGTATTCCTACCAGCAGTGAGTGAGAATTCCTATTGCTCCACATCCTTGTCAGCATTTGGTGTTGTCAGTGTTTTGAATTTTGGCCATCCTCATAGGTGCAGTGGTATCTCACTGTTGTTTTAACTTGCAATTTCCTAACGACATATGGTGTTCAGCACCTTTTCATATGCTTATTTTTCATCTGTACAGATCTTCTTTGGTGAGGTGTCTATTAAGGTCTTTGGCCCTTTTTTTTTAAGATTTTGTTTTTTTGAGAGAGAGAGAAAGCACGAGTGGGAGGGGCAGATGGAGAGGGAGAGAGAATTTCTAGCAGACTCTTCACTGACCATGGAGCCCAGCGTGGGGCTCGATCTCACGACCCTGAAATCATGACCTGAGCTGAAACCAAGAGTCAAATGCTTAACCTGCTGTGCCACCCAGGTGCCCTTGGCCCATTTTTTAAATCATGCTATTTATTTTCTTATTGTTGAGTTTTAACATTTCTTTGCATATTTTGGATAGCAGTACTTTTCCAGTTATGTCTTTTGCAAATATTTTCTCCTAGTCTGTGGCTTGTCTTCTCATTTTCTTGACAGCGTCTTTTGCAGAGCAGAAATGTTTAATTTTAATGAAGCCTAGTTTACCAGTTCTTTCTCTCATGAACATATATTCATTTTTACAATGAGGCTAGTATTACCTGATTTGTGTATCTTACAGGTTGTTTGTAGTATGAAAGTATAGGGGTTTTTTTTTAATTCTTTGAGACACATGATGGTGGTGCGTGTTTGTGTCCTCCCAGATTCTAGCATGCTTACATGCTTTATTTTAGTCATGGAACTATGGTGTGTGGTTTTCCGAGTGTGAGATGTAGGACTAACATGAATTTCTCATTTTTTTCTTTCACAGGTACGGGCAACATTCCCTAGAGCGGACACTGCATCAGCATGGGGCCCAGAGTGAGAAAGATCTTGGAACAGAGCCCCAAGCCCATCTGCAATGGATACATAGCATGAGAAACAAACTTCCTGTGACTTTAGCCCACTGAGAATTTCAGGATTATTTGTTACCTCAACCTCACCCGACGTATCCAGTCTGCTACAGAGGATCAGAGAATTGTGATAAGTTCATTAAAGCATATTACAGACTATGAGAGGGAGTGACACTGGGCTCATACTGGCTATAGACAACAAGGACGGATGATCCGCAGCATGTCCCACTCTTGCCACAGGCTGAGGAGCACAAGGGAATAGAATGGGCCGGAGATCATCTGAGGCACTGCCTCTGGTTGGTGGTGCTGATGGGTGGGGTCATGTCAGCATACAGATCATGCTCGTCACCACTGGTGGTTCGCAGCCTAATTCTTTTAGGGCATGACATAGCATGGAACTCAGCTGGGGGCAAGAGGAAAGGTTAGTGGAAGTTCTGCTTTCTTACATCTTTAAAAATGGAATGCTTTTCATCCCAAAGGGCCCTCTCAGGCCTGATTCATAGAAACAAGGAGCCATGGCCTGAAATTACCTTACTATAAAAAAAAAAAAAAATTACCTTACTATGCTTCAGGCCCGGAGGAGCTTACCGTATGGCAAGTGTGCTTCCAAGTTAAGGAGGATGGGAAGAGAGAACATGTTTATTAAGCACATATTATGTGCCCGGCATCGTACCACGCTTTCTGTTGACACATTAGCTTTGAACCTTAATACCAACACTCCGATCCCTAGGAAGATGAGTCTCAAAGCAGTTGAACACTTGTCAAAGGTCTTATCCAGGAAACGATCAAGCAGGATCCAGAGCCATGTCTGGCTGACTCTAACACCTGAGCTTTTGCCGTGATCCCATTCCTCCTCCCCCAGGACTTGTTTTGTTGGGGCTAAAAAGTGAGGATACCAAAATGGAAATTTAGGTCTTTAGGGAGATTGCTGGAGAAATTAATTCATTAACACACCGCACTCCTGGGCATTGTTTTAATTCAGACCCTCGGGGTTAGAATTTGCCTCCAACGAATTGAATGCTGACTGTGGAGGATGGCACTGGAGAGGGTTTCCAGATGTTGCAGAGAAACTACTGGCAAATTGAAATGTCATAATGAGGATGACGAATCTGTCCACGATGTCACGGGGGTTCTGCTGCCCTGCGCACGTGAAGCTGTTTTCTGGGACCTCTGTGGACCTCGAGGGCTGATGCCCACCCAGTCAGAGGTAAGACCTATGGTCTTCTTGACCAGGGGACTCTGTGGGGTGGTGGTACTCAGCACAGAAGGGACCAGACTAAACTGTACTCACTCATAAAGATAATCACACACACTTCTGCTAGACATCTTGGACAGAGTGCCAGCGAGAATTCTTCAGGGTCAGGTTTGCTCCACCAAGTGTTGCCTGATTTAAAAATAATAATAAAATTGACGGGGAGGAGAAGGGCCTGCTGATCCTGAGTTCGCCTGTGAGGCCAGTGAAGTCCTTGAAACAGAATAACAACAACAACAACGCATGGACTCTTATGCCTGGAGCCTCTGAGTGGCTTCTGGCTTCTCAGTAATTATGTAAATGCTCCTCCGTTCAGTTGGGGGCTGAGAGAGAGACACCAACAACCACAAACAGAAACCTTTTGGAAGAGCCTAAAGATTTAGCCATGGCACGTCTCCCATTTTCCATCTTTTATTTAACTCCTTTGAACTCCCACTGATTTCCAGGCAACGCTTTGGAATTCCATTTTTAGCGCTGCCTTTTGAATTATTATTTTTTTCCCCCCGTGGCGTACAAATCTGCTACGGAGACGGCCTCCCTTTATCATTAAAAAATTTTTTTTTCTTCATTATTGAATAATGTCCGTTGGCAGAATGATTTAAAATGACAGACCCATTTGAAGAAGGAAATGAAAGTGATCTGTAGCCCCAGCTTTCAGAGACAATCACTATTAAGGGTTGGGTGTATTTCTAGCCAGGATTTTTTTCTTAATGTGACCATACTTTTTTTTTTTTTTTCTTTACATGGCCAAGAGCGTGCAGCTCAGAGTCCCCTGGGGTGGGTGGGAGGCAGTCTGGAGCCTAGCTTTACCTCAGATGGACCCGCATTCAAGAGCTGGCTATTAATTAGTGATCAGTGGGGCATGGGGCAAATCAGCTGTTAGGATCTGTTTCCTCAATAGCGTATGGGATGCTATATTGGTATGGACTGCTTATAGGTTTGTAGATGGGTAACTGATACAATAGACTGAAAGCCTTTGGATAAGTGACTGGCAGTTAGTAAATACTGAATACATACTACCTATTATTGGCATTTCGCTTTTTGCCCTTAAAATGTCATATCGTAAACACTTTCCCATATTATTAAATTTTTTTACAATCATGATTTTTAATAGCTATATGAATTTATATTTTATGAATAGACTAGAATGATTCCTCTCTTACTGAATATATATTCAGTATTTTGAGTTCTGTACATTATGCTGTAATGGGAATCTTGATAGACTGATGGTGCCTTGGTGGTACTATTTATTATGTTTTTTGGATCATTTCCTGTAAGTGGGATAACAAGATGGGAGGCATTTAACCATTTTAAGTGTCTTAATACATATCGAAGTGTTGCACCTGTTTGCGCTCTCACTATGTTTGCTGCCAAGTTCAACCTTGAGTATTATTATGCAACTTTATTAATTTTTCTGATTTTAAAATCCAGCCTATATATTAAATCATCTTTACATTTTATATGTTTTGCGAGTTCTAGAGGAGGCTATTTAAAAGGCAATCACATTCATTTGGATGGATCTTTCTACATAACTGTTTTTGGTGCACATCATCCGATCTTTGGTCCTCTGATTTTACAGTTGGGCTGTTTAATTTTCTCTGTCACTCAGTCAGTTAGAGTATGTCTTCATTTTTTTTTTTAAAGAAGGTTTTATGGATGGTATGATTTCTTTGGCATTTTGTTGTTTTCATACATAAAAGAAAACTTGACCAGTCATAAAATTCTTGGGTTAAAACCACCAAAAATAATTTGTCTTTAAGATGGTGAGTCATCTGGTAGAAATAGAAAATGTATAAATGAACAGTTGGTTTTTCTTCTCAAGAGCTACCAGAATCCACAGGACGGTAGAATGGGGCTCTTCGATAGAACTTTCTGCCGTGGTGGAAATGTTCTATGTCTGTGTGGCTGGTGGCCACCAGCCTCTTACAGCTACCGAGCACTTAAAATGTAGCTAGTGTGATCGAGAAACTGAATTTTTAAAAACTTAATAAATTTAAATGTAAATACACGTGGCTAGTGGCTTCTATCTTGGACGGCACAATTCCAGGAATACAAAATGGAAAGGAACCTTAGAGGTTTACATCAGTGTTATTGCCTTGTGTGGGTCATACTGCACGTCAGGGTCTGTTTCCCCATCTGTGAAATGATAGAGCTTTCTCAGGACTACATGATAAGTTAATGTTAAAGCTTAGACCAGCTCAGTGTTGTTTGCTTCATGTTGGGCTGTGATGCCCCTGATTCCCATGCCTTTCAGGCTAATAGCTTTGGTTTTTCTTACCAGCCTACCTAAGATGGCATTCCTAGACATTTCTTACTCCCATATCCTACTTAAGTTTTCTTTCCTTATCACTACCTGAAATCCTGTTAAGTATTTCTATAATCAAACATTTATCTGCCCTCCCCCCCCCGACTAGGAGGTCAGCTCCATGGCTCCATGGAGGCAGGGGCTTTGCTTCTTGCCATATTCTCATTGTCTAGAAAGGGCTCAGTGCGTAGTGGTTACTCATGACGTCTTCGTTGAGTGAGTGGAGGAGTGAAAAGAAATCTGTTAATCAAGTTCATTTGGAGGAAGCTTACAGTCAGGTGGGATGCGAGGCAGTTGGAACTGCTTTATCTGACCACACAGAGATTTTAGTTTTTAGTTAACAGCTTAGTTTCAATTTCAGATTTTATCTTTTTGAGATGCATACCGTCAGGTAGTCATGCTGTCCTACAGAGGCATTTTTCTCCCCAGTTAAATGATGAGTCCCAGAGGACAGCTCTACTTTTATTGGGGTTTTTTTGGGGGGGGAGGGGTTGATGTGATTTTTTTCTACTTTTATCTTTATTGCTCCCCCTACACTTGGGTCAACCTTTAGAGAAGGTCGATGTGTTCATTGGAAGGGATCCCTGGCCTAGGAAGAACTTTCGTTCCCTGGAATCATTCTCAGCTAGATGTGAATCTGTGAAATGGGCAGGTACTACCTGCACCATAGTGCTGATGTGAGGATATCAATGAGGTAACGTGGGAGAAGCTTCCAGGCAATGCCTATCGATATGCATTGCCTTCTCTCTAACCCGAAGGTTATACCCAAGCGGAGGAGCAGTGCTCCAAATTCAGATTTTCTGTCCCAGAGTACTTCATTCTTTTGAACATACCAGGCTCGGTCTCCGGCCTGTCTGCCTGACCCCAACTCAACATAGCTAAGTTGGAGGGAGAGTGGGTATGGGGGTGGGGACCGATGACACTATTGTCCATGGACTGTCCCAGGCCAAGTCTCCCACATCTCGTCCAGCTTGCATGGATGTGTATAGGCCAGGCTCTCCCGAACAGGCCAGCTGTGGTCAGCCTGACCCAGCACCTTGCCTCATCTAGCTGCACATCTCCTCTGAGAGTCTATAAATGCCGAGGAGCCCTTACAATGAAACCCTTCACAATGGAGTGCCTGGCTTTTATTGAGAAAAGCCAATCCCCTCCCATCTGTCATTTGGCACTTAGCACTGTAGTTATTCTAGATGAGTGAACACTTGTGTTATATTTTCCAATAGCAAAACTGGGGTCACCAGGGTGCCTGCTATTTTAGCCAAATCCAGATGGGGTTTTCCTATAAACAAGTGCACATGGAATATTTATGCCGCCCATGGCACCTGACGCCTGAATACTTAGGACTTCGATGTAGTAGCCACTCTTCCTATAAGTCACTCTAGCACACAAAGTAAATATTTTAATATAGCCATGTCACTGTTTATTATAGAATGGCTTGGGCCCAGATCTTGCCTAATGCTTGGTTAAAAAGTCAGTTTATACCATCCTTTAAAGTGAATCAAAGAATGCATAAACGCCACTCTTTTGTTACTCAGAACTCTGTTTACTTTACTTTTCTGTAAACCTTGTGAAATGCTTGCTTACAGAAAGCTGACAGATGCCAGATTTGCTCATTAACTGGAGGTGTCTTCCAAGTCAGGAAGGTGAGGTGTGAATGTGGGAGGTGGGGTTTCTTTGCTCAGGGCATCTCCCAATGCCCGCTGCCCAGGGGGGCCCACTGTCTTGCCCCGGGGATCCTGACCACTAGCCACCAACCAGTGAATGGGATTGAGAGGCACCAAGTGAGCCACTGTGGCTCCTAAATCAAGTCTGTCCTCTGCATTGGAACAATGAAGTCCACTTGGACAGCCTGAGACTGGGAAAGACTTTCAAAATCAGAGTCTAATTCTCTGCCTTCTGTGATCCTATAAATCGTAGGAAAACCTCGTGATATTTACCAGTACTTAGCAGCATTTAATTTCTAAGCTTCACCCTGAAGGCTGGGACATTTCTTACAGGCATGGCAATTGAAGTGTTGACAGCTGCTTTCAAAGGGGCCTGAGATGCTTAATACTTATGTTCTTGGTTAACTAAGAAGGTGTATAGTGGGTAAATCAGTGCATGATATAAAGTCAATTATAATTTTTAGATTAAAAGTCAGTGTTTAATAAAACAGCATTACAAATCAGGTAACAAACAGAGATACAATCCATAGCAAGGTTTAAAGGAATAGAATCCTTTAAGAATGACTCCATGATGTGTTGTCAGTCATTTCCTTGAGACAGAGTCTGTCCCAAGCAGTATTTATAAAGTTCCCATGAAGCTGCTCTAGGCTAAAAGGAGATTAGCTACATGCTGGTGGTAATTTCCACTGGATTGTTGATTTTTTCTTTTTTCCAGCACAAGATGCCACTTTTGATTTGGTAAACTCTCTTCGTGAGCACTTAAAGTACATCTCCATGGAAGTTCTGTTTACACAGAAATAATATTTATTGCTTTTTACCAGTTATGGTAGTCAGAACAATGCCCTCCCCCCAGGATGTCCAGGTCCTAATGCCTGGAGTCTTTAAATATGCTATATTGCACGGCCAAGGGGAATTCAGGTTGCAGATGGAATTAAGGTGGCCAATAAGCTGACCTTCAAATAAGGAGATTATCCTACATTTTCTGGGTGAGCCCAGTGAAATCACAAAGGTCTTTAAAAGTGGAAGAGAGAGACAGAAGTTAGAGGTCAGGATGATGTGATGTTGGGAGGATTCAATCCAGTGTTGTTGGCTTTGAAGGTGGAGGGAGGGGGCCACGAACCAAGGAATGTGGGTGACTTCTAGAAGCTGGAAAAGTTAAGAAGAGAGATTCTCCCCTGGAACCTCCAGAAAGGAATGCACCCTTGCCAACACCTTGATTTTATCTATCTCTGTCCTAGAGACCTGTAAGATAATAACTTTGGGTTAAATTGCTAAATTTGTGGTAATTTGTTACAACAGTAATAAAAACCTAACACATCACTTATGAGAGGGATAGACATGCAAGGAAAAACTTTAGAAAATAGGAAAATGTCTGCAAAATAAAATAGATTGCCATATTTGACCAGGCACAAAGAGACTTAGTAACTTACCTCCAGTTCTTCGTTACTTTGCACACATTATTTTGAAGATTATAGAATCACATTGTTACCCCATCTGCTTTTATCACCCAGCATTATCTTGTGAGCATTTCCCCACACCTTTAAAAGTTACAAAAAACATGTATTTCATATTATAGATGTCCCACAGTTTACCTAATCC